GATATCTAGAATCTCTCTATTTCTTACAGCTCTATGCAAATCTACAATTACTTCAAAATAAAAAGCTTAATTTTTTGAAAACTGGAAAAGATTTGAATAGACATTTGTCCAAAGAAGATATACAGATAGCTAGTAAGTATATGAAAAAGTGCTCAGCGTCATGAGTCATTAAGGAAATGTTATTCAAAACCACAATGAGATAAGATAGCTAATAAGCAAAGCCCGATGGTAAGTGTTGAGGAGGATGCAGAGAAATTAGAACCTTTTTACACTGCTGGTGGGAATGTAAAATGGTACAGTCACCTTTGAAAACAGCTTGGCAGTTCTTCAAAATCATAAACTTAGAGTTATCACATGACCCAGTAACTCTATTCCTAGGAATATACACAAGAGAAATGAAAATATAGGAGCACCTGGGTGGCTCAGTCGGTTAAGCGTCTGCCTTCAGCTCAGGTCATGATCGTGGAGTCCCAGGATCGAGCCCCACATGGGGCTCCCTGCTTAGTAGGAAGTCTGCTTCTCCCTTTGCCCCTCACCCCGGTCATGTTCTCTCTCTCTCTCTCAAATAAATAAATAAAACCTTTTTAAAAAAATGAAAATATGCATTCACCAAAAACTATCTTTCAGCAATAAAAAGAAATGACTGATACACACCACAGCATGGATGAACCTTGAAAACATACTAAATAAAAGAAGCCAGTCATAAAAGACCACATATTACATTTAAATTTATTACATTTATAATTATATTTAAATGACATATCCAGAACAGGCAAATCTATAGAGACAAGGTAGATTAGTGGTTGCCTGGGGGCAGTCTGTGTGACTGCTAATGGGTAGAGGATTTCCTGGGGAGAGAATGGAAATGTCTAAAATTAACTATGGTGATGGTTGCACAAACCTGGTTGCACAAACAAAGAACATTGATTTTTACACTTTAAATGGGTCCATAATATAGTATGTGAATTATATCTCAATAAATCTTTAAAAAAAGAAGAATTGAGCTTGAACCCAAGCTATCTCTTTTGCACTGTTTAAAGCAAAAAAGAGCCTTTTTATTTGAAAAAAAAATTCTAAGTTACAGAAAGTTGCAAGATTCACCGATTATTGAAGTTTTGCCTATTTTTAAGATCAAATTCCATCATCAGCTTTGGGTTGATGTATTCATTGACTGTTTTTGTAGGTCTTGGTGTTGGATTGTGTTACTCTCTAACAGTGGTTCTGATCATTCAGAGCATTTGGCAATGTTCGGAGACACTGGGGCTGCCACTGTCTTCTAGTGAGTACAGACCCAGGATGGTGATAAACATCCTACAATGCACAGGGCAGCGGTCCCAACAAAAACTTATCTTGGGGTGCCTGGCTGGCTCAGTCTCTAGAGCATGCAACTCTTGATCTTGGGATTGTGAGTTCAAGCCCCACACTGGGTGTAGATATTACTTAGAAATAAAATCTTAAAAAAAAAAACTTATCTGGACTAAAATGCCAACAGTAGCAAGATTGAGAAACTTGCTGTACTCTCTTAGTGTGTATTTATCAAAAAGAGAAATATTTTAGTCTGATCAAAATAGTCTGGGGATTTTACTCTCCAGTTAGGGTTTCGGAGCATAGTTTGTATATCTCATATGGTTTATTTATTAGTCTTTCAATTGGTTCTCCCACCATAAACCTTTATTTGCCTGTTGCCTAAGAGGGCAGGAGCCAGACATAAAGTGCTATAGCATCTGAGCAGCACTATAAACTAATGGGCACTTAAGTATTTGGAAAAGATGATGGGGCTGCAGCTGGGAAGTCAGGTGGCAGCATTAACATGGCCCAGGGGGGCAGTAAAGCCTGTAGCTTGGGAGATTTGGTCCCAGTTTGAGGCAGCCCTGTCATGGCACTGGGATAAACCACAACCACAAAACTTAGAGAATCTGAGAGATCATTTGGAACCTATCTTCATGCTACTGTGTTTCCTTCATGAATGGTGGTACTGTGGCCATTCCCAGAGGCTGAATGGTTGAGGGGGTGACTACATGCTAGAATATCCCTTCATGCAACTAGCCAAGGCTTTTCAGAGGCTCTCCCACTTTCACATGATGGGCCTGTGCAGGGTTTCTATTATCTCCAGAGAAGATGGGAACCACAAAGGGAATCTTAGGTCTTCTGAAAGGCCTTTGCATAGAAAGTTAAAGCTTTTACCCACCATTAAATGAATATATGTGCTGTGATGGGACTTGGGTGTGTATGTGAAGGGTTGCTGGTCATGAACTCTGGAGTCCCTTATTTCTGCATATTCCCAGAATGGCTGAGAAGAGTCTCCTGTGCAGACAAGGCACTCAGTAATTTTTAGTAAATATTTGAATCTCTATTATGGTTCCAGGCACTGTATGAGGCACATTAGTGGACAAGAGAGACAAGGTCCCTAACCTCAGGTAGCATAGATTAACAGGAGTACCTCGATATATGTTTATTCATCAGCTGATTTTTCTCTCTGAAAAACTGGCTTCATCACATCTTTGCAAGTTATCGTCAGAAAGTTTTTGAAATGAATAATGTTTGTCTGTGGGAGCAACAGAGGGACCATCTGTTGAATTTTCCAGAAGGGTTAATAGCCATCAGCTGGAGTCATAGACTCCTGGAAAATCCTTCTTAAGATGTTTATTTAAGTGGATAAGCCACTAAAAGCTCAGTAATTGAAGAATGAAATAGTGAAATGGAAAATATGGGCATATAAATTGAACCTAGAATTTTGAAGACATCATATGGGCAATTCAAATGATAGCTTTCTAAAAGAGTATTGTTGCAGCTGAGTATCAGAAGCTAAGAGCATTCTTTAAAGCAAAATATAATTGTTGTGGTTGATAAACACAAATTTGGCCATATCTATTTTTGCTGCTCCTTTTAACTAACTAGTTTTAGTTCTGTTGGTCCTTTTGTTGTTCTGTTATATATAGGAAAATATTTTAATTTTTAAATTTCTTCAAAGCCTTTCTGGAATAGGGTGGGGTATAAATAAATACTTTTTAGCAAAATCAGAGCAGAGTATAGACAATAGATGTCCCCTGGGGTGAAGGTCAGGAAGGGCAGGGGTGGAGAAGGGTATGCCAGGAAGGCCAGAAAGTTCCCTGATAGAATTATGCCTCTATGAGATCCTGAGCACAGTGTTCTGTGTCATTTCAGACAAAATCGACCTTTGTCTAAAGCACTTTTTTTTTTTTTTTTTTTTAGAGAGGAGGAGAGAGAGAGGGGAGGGGCAAAGGGAGGGGGAGAGAATCTTAACCAAGCTCCACACCCAGCGTGGAACCTGATGTAGGGCTCTTTCTCATAGCCCTGAGATCATGACCTGAGCCGAAATCAAGAGTTGGATGCTTAACCGACTGAGCCACCCAGGTTCCCCTAAAGCATTATTATTTTTTTTTAAGGCTAAATATTTTTGGGGCACCTGGGTGGCTCAGTCAAATAAGCATCTGCCTTCAACACAGGTCATGATCTCAGGATCCTGGGATAGAGCCCCTTGTCTGGCTCCCCTGCTTCCCCCTCTCCCTCTGCTCCTCTCTTCCCCCTCCCCCCCTCATGCGCTCTCTCTCTCTCAAATAAATAAAATCTTAAGAAAAAAGCTAAATATTTTTGATATATCAAGGTCATCTATTCCTTAGATAACCGAGATTCGATAACTGTACAGTCCATATTCACAATTCTCAGTAAATGGAACTTCATGCCCTAGGCTTAATACAATAGACAGAAGCTGAGGACAGTGAGAACTTGGATGATAATCTAGGGCTCTTCTTTAACAGCTACTAGAAAAAGATAGGATGCTTTCATTTTGCCACAGGTGGGCCTTTGTTAGCTTTGTCCTATTTCTTTGCAAAACACAGGCAGAATCTGAAGCTCTTTTTGGAAACCCAGAGAGTAAATGCCATTCTTTTTACCTGGAGTTTCAAACAGCCAGACTGGATCCAATCATTTCCTTCCCCTACCCTTCCACAGAATTGTTGGGTTGTTGTTTTTTTCCCCTTCTGAACTCCACAGAGATTTCCCTGACACGGGTTTCTGTTAGGGACTCAGGGTTTATCATCCAACACACAGCATTACTGGTGAGCTCACAGGGCTTGTCAGAATGACTTGGGAGGAACTGGCACCCTCTCATACTCTGGTCTTGCTATCCAGTCCTTGCATGTAAGCTGGGTTTCCTCCACACGCAAAGAGCCTAACGTGGAGCTGGGCATACAGGCAACGTTAGCCAGTAGGTACTGACTCAATTGTTTTAAAATATTTATGGCTTTCCCAAAAAAAGTATGTACACATCTATCAGAATGACTGAGAAAATAGTGATAACACGAAATGCTGGCAAGGATGCAGGAAAACCAAATCACTTATACATTACTGGTGAGGATGTAAAATGGTACAGCTGTTCTGGAAACCAGTCTGGCACTTTCTTACAAACCTAAACATGCACTTACCATATTACCCAGCAATTGCACTCCTTGAATATTTATCCTAGAGTGATAAAAACCTATGCTCACACAAAAACTTGTACATGAATGTTTATAGCAGCTTTATTCATAATAGCCAAAAAGCAAAAATAACCCAAATGTCCTTCAACCAGATGAATGGTTAAACAAACTTAGGTTATTCTACATCATGGAATACTATGGAACAATAGAAAACAAACAGACTATTGTTACAGAGAACAACTTGATGGATCTCAAGGAAATGATACTGAATCCAAATAAAAGCCCATCCAAAAAGACATACTGAATGATTCAACTTATATAACATTCTTAAAAAACTAAGTTTTAGAAATGGAGAACAGATTAGTATTTGCCAGTGATTAGGAATATAGAGAAGAGGTGCTGGATAGAAATAGATATGATTGTAAAAGGAAACAAAAGAGATCCTTGGGGTTCTTTAACTCTTTTGTATCTTGACTGTAGTAGTGGATATATAAATGTATTCATGAGATTAAACTGTATAAACACATACACACAAGTGAGTAAAAGTTAAAGAAATCTAAGATTGGTGAATGTATTAATGTCAATATTCTGGTTTTAATATTGTTTTGCAAGCTGCTAGCACCGGGGTAAACTGGTAAACAATACATGGATCTCTCTGTATTCTTTCTCTCTCTCTTTCTTTTCCTTCCTTCCTTCCTTCTTTTTTTCTTTCTTTCCTTCCTTCTTTTCTTTCTTTCTTTCTTTCTTTCTTTCTTTCTTTCTTTCTTTCTTTCTTCTTTCAAGATTCCATTTATTTATCTGACAGAGAGAGAGCAAAAAAGCACAAACAGGGAGAGCAGCAGAGGGAAAGGGAGAAGCAGGCTTTCTGCTCCACAGGGAGCCAGACGTGGGGCTCGATCCCAGGACCCCGGAACCACAACCAAAGCCAAGCTGAAGGCAGACGCTCAACCGACCGAGCCACCCAGGCTCCCCTCTCTTCCTTCCTTCCTTCCTTTTTCTTTCTTTCTTTCTTTCTTTCT